AGCAACCAATATAGTAACTCTGCATTATCTCACTCAATATTATATAAATGCTCTTCATTTGTCCACAGACAGTTAATGAAAACAATTGTTTGTTTCTTGCTCTTCTGTTTTCTCTGAGCACAGTAGCTGGATTATGCCATCCTTCCTCTAATGGTACCCATTTTATGTGAAATAAAAATATACTGCCTTAGCCATAGCATACAAGACTAGATTAGCTTTGCATTGCTTTGACAAATACCTATGATCTAAAGGCAAGGTGCAGCAGGTTAGAGAGATTGTTCAGTGGTTAAGAATACTCAGTGCTCTTTCAGAAGTCTCAAGTTCAAGTCCCAGCATACACATGATGGCATACTACCACCTGCAACTCCGGTTCCATTGGATATGACGCCCATTCCTGTCATCCATGGATGCCAGGCTGGCATGTGATATGTGATACACGTATAAGCCTTCAGGAAAAACATTTTGGACAGAAAATGAAATAAATCTAAACAAGCTAAAAGAAAGTTTTATGTTGGCTCCACATTTCATAAGTTTCACCCCAATGTTAACTGACTCTTCAGCCTTCAGAACTGTACCAGAGAGATCGCTTTACCTCATAGGAATTGGGAACCAAAAAGAAAGAAAGAATACTGCAAACATTGAAAGTACACATCCCTGTTTTGCAAATGGTGGATAACAGGATAAATATTTTGGTTTATGTGGGTCGTCCTTGGTGCATGTACACATATGAATGAGACAATTAACTGTTGATATGTGTGCTAAATAATATTGTTTTGTGAGATTATTTGGGAGTCTGGGCAGCTGGGAGACGAACAAGCGGTGTGCAGCAGAACTTCCTTCTCCTGGGTTCTATCACTACTCAGCAGAGCTGGTAACTGACCCTCCAGTATAAAGGTCTCAGACAACACTGAAAATACAACGCAGAGCACAGCCCCATCACAACCCCCTTGCTGCTTACCCTACCAGTCACCACATTCTTTTCTTCAATCCACTCTGGCCTCCTCGCTATTTCTGCAAACGCCAGACAAGGCTGCTTCCCTTTTGCTCCGCATATAGTAACAGTTTCTCACCTCACACATACGCACACATGCACACATGGACTACCCACGTCAACCAAAATCTTGCTTTGTTTAGTCTACTATCCACCAGTACTTAAAACAGCACCTAACACGAGAGCAGAAACCTCAAGACTGGCCAGTTCTAGCAATAAATGATTCTGTGCCCTTGTACAGTTTAAAACAGGTAAGAAAGATTGACTAAAGATTCCTTAGAAACAACTGATGATGAAAGACTTCTAAAGGCACATTAGTGACTATTTCTTGTGACCCTTTCGTGATTCCTGAATATGGTCCTCTATTATAGAATAAGGTGAATTCAAAATGCCAGTGAGAATGCAGACAAAGGGTAATCCTCATTCGCTGCTGGTGAGAGTGGGAACTGAGGCAGCATCTATGGAAATCAGTGTGAAAGCTTTTCAAACAGTGAAAATAGAGACTGGGAAGGTAGCTCAGGTAGCGAGGCAAGAAAATACTTGCCTTGCAAACACAAGAACAGAGTTAAACATCCAGAATCCACATTTTAAAAATGGCAATCATGGTGGTGTCTGCTTGTAATCTCAGTGCTAGAGACAGATGAATCTCTGGGCCTTGTTGGTCAGCCATCATGGCCTAATTTATGAGAACTGGACAAGTAAGAGAGACTTTAAAAAAAGAGGGGGAGAGAAAAGAGAAGAGAAGAGAAGAGAGGAGAGGAGAGGAGAGGAGAGGAGAGGAGAGGAGAGGAGAGAAGAGAAGAGAAGAGAAGAGAAGAGAAGAGAAGAGAAGAGAAGTTAAAAGAGAAATAAAAAAGTGGTCTGTGTCCAAGGAACAACAGCCAAGGTGGCCCTTTGTCCCCCATATGTACATACACATATACACATACAAACACAGAAGACGAAAACTACAATTATCCAGTCATACCTTGTTTAGGCACATTCCCAAAGAGACTGTCTAGTCTCTGACACCAAAGTTGCACATACATGTTCATGACAGTTCTGTCAATAACAATTAGGAAAAGTGGCACATATGCACAGTGGAATTTTATACAGCCATAAAGGAAAGCGAAATTATGAAAGTTTCATTAAAATAAACAAATCTAGAAATTATTCTGTTATTGAGATATTCTAGAGTTGGTAAAACAAATACAGCATGCTCTGTCTCATGAAGAGGTTCTTGCTGTCAATGCTATGAATATGAATATATTCATATGTGAGAGGGTGAGCAGACATATAGGTCATGAAACCACGAGCGGGCTACTGTAGAAGAAATCTGTCCGAGGGAAAGAGTTTGAGGAGGATCAGTAATACGTAAGACAGAATGTACGCAAGTAGAAAGGGGACTTTTTGGGGTGAAAGGACACAAGCAAGAGTGGAGTGAGAAGATGGAAGAGAGAAACAGGGAGGAGGCTCAACCCCAACAAAAACCATGTATAAAATCGCTTAACAAAACTGTTACTTTTCCGCTAATTGAAAAATAAACAAAAGTCATGACTGAATGGACTCATCACTATCAACATGTTAAGTATGGCTTTCTTCCCCAGAGAAAGAGTCTTTGCGTCCCCATAGCTGATGGCTTTGCCACAAATAGCAAATAAATGATTTAAATGCCCATGATTCAAAGCAAGTATGGACTAGGAATCAGATTTGAGACCCGGGTAGAACACAGGTGTTTTATTTCTGATGTATTTAATGGGGATTGTTGTTTTGTTGTATGTTGCAAAGTATATTACCAAACTACCTCATCCATCATTTTAAACCAGGAGAAGGGGCACTCTGACTGGTCTATCGTTGCTCCCTTCCCTTTTCTCTGAAAACATTTATCTGTATTTCTGTTCAATACAGTGTGTGGAAATGAAGCAGGGAAGCAGGTGAGGAATGCTCACTCAGACAAAGGGGGAAATCTTTCAAAGTGCGTCTACTGGGGATTCCAGAAGAATTGTCAGTAGTGGAAAAGTGAAGATGCTGAATTTTGCACTAACCTCAGTTAAAAATTTACCAGTACCCACTGTTTTTGACAGTCTCAGAGTGTAATATGGGGCACATTTACCATTCCATGGAAGAACTGTTCAGAAATAGGGAACCAGACCATAAATCTTCACTGTTTATTTCCCCCCCCCCCCCCGGGGCTACATTAGTGCCTCAAAATTTTCCCCCTTTCTAGGAGGCATTAGAAGCCAGGGTAAATGTGTGAGTTTTGGAATTAGACAAAATGATTTTAAATTATGGATCCATTGTGTATCAGCTGTGTATTTCAATTTATCATTTAGCCTTTCTGAACCCATTCCTGCTCCTCTCAAATTACATTCCAAAGATATAGCCCTTAGGATTTTTCTGGTAACACAATTAAATTACAAGATGAAGTGCCCAGATGATCTCAGGATATGGAAGCGTTCTTTGCTTTATCACACTCTGCTCCACTAGAAAAAGAAAAAAAAATATATTCAGCTAATGCTAGATGGAAATCACAATTATAAAAACATCATTATTTTAATTTTTTGCAATGAAGATTTCAAATGTTTTTTTTAGAAATATCTAGCGATTTGGTGTTCCGGGTGTCTAATGAGAAGGCCCAAATTCTACACAGTATTATGAGAAGTGAAGGAACACTCCTGCATCCTTCTATTTGTGAGAAAGCATTTAAGACTGAGTGGATGGTGCACGACCTTACAGCATCTATTCCTGAGATTTGGTAAGAAAGAGACTGCTCAAATCTTACCTTGTAGGAGGAGATAGAAGATAAAATGCAAGAAAACCTTTGCTATAAAGGGAAGTGGAAAACACGATGCGCCCCCAGGGAACATCAGTTCTCCTCTGTCTGACTCTTTTTTCCGCTCGCGCGCGCACACACACACACAAAAAATATACTGAGAAATTTCAAAGTCACTGGGTTAAAAGCAAACTTTAAAACAGCCAGGGAGCCTACAAAGCAATCCCTATTCTGCCCTGAGTTATGTAGAGAGCAGCTTGGATCTTCACATATCTAATACAGTGTCAGAGCCAAGCCAGTACTCGCATTGTCATGAACCTTATAGGAAGGTTCAGTGTGCCGTCTGCCGGCCACCACTGGAGGGGTGGGCACTGCAACCCCAGATGTATCCCTTTGTCCTCTTCGTGTCTCCTGGGGGTTGGGGGACCTCGAATGAGTTCCTTTGATCACTTAGTTTGATATTTCTGAAATCCAGTAGTGAAGCCTATACTAGGACCTCGCCCAAAATAGAAACTACAATCCAATTCTAAAAGGGGAAAAAATGAATGTGATTATCCAAAGAAGGAGAAAGCACCAATCACAATAAGCTTGAAGCGGTCTGAAGTAGAATTTGCTTAATTTTTTTTCTTCCTTTTTTTTTTTTTTTTTTTTTTTTTTTTTTTTTTTTTAAGGAAGGGAGGATTTATTTTCTCACAGTTTGAAACTGTAGTCCGTCCCTGTGGGAAGGTCACAGTGGCAAGAGCTTGAGATCCCTGGCCAAACCAAACTAGGAAAGGAAACAGAGGGCAGTTCTAGTGATTGATAAGCTTTAACTTCTGTAGGACTCAGTTCAGCTCATTTAAATTACGTCTGAAGACACCAATGTGAATTTGAAGCTCTAATCCTAAAGAAATCCACTTAAAATGCTCTACTTTGAATAGTTACTCCCATACAGCATCTTTATTGGAATGCAAGAGCTTGGTTTGTGGTGGAAAAAAAAACTTGCTGTACAAGTTCCCAAAGACTTAATGACATCAAGGACTGGCCCGAGTCTGACTCAGGCTAGATGAATACTAAGGCACTCTGCAAGGTTTTGGAAGGGCTTGGAGGGGTTTCCCAGGCCAAGCCCATCTTTGCAGTTGCTGTCTTCATGCAGGACACGAGTAGACACTGTATAGAAAGGAATGAAAAATGAATAATCATCTTACTGATATTGTGATATTGTATAGTGTCCTATAGCTTATTCAACCATTTTTCACAGTTTACTTTTTTTAAAAAAAAAATAAGGAACACTTCAGGAATCTGCATGTCATCTTTCACAAGATCTATGCTAACTTTCTCTGCATCATTCCCATTTTATTATATGTGCTACCAAAGTGAGCACACAGTCTACTTTTTATACCTACTGCTATAATAACCCTATGAAGAAAACACTGTTATTTAACAGATAAAAAAAATGCAGAGGATTGGAGAATTGAAGACTACCAAGAAACATTAAAGGAAGTTAAGGGCCAGAAGCCAGCTCCTTGACTCTGAAAGTTGTGCTCTGTGCCTGTAGGCTGTGAGGGCAGGTAGGCCCAGCATCCAAGATAAGTTATAAATTCCGGAAGCTATTTTTGACCCACCCCCTTGAACCTTTCATCCAAGTGTTTCCTTTCTTGCTGTTTATGATGAAAGTGACATACTACTCGTATTTGTGATATTCCCATTCAAGGACAAAGGGAGACTCTTTCCTGGAAGGGTTTTTGATAAGATTGTTTTCAAATCATCATGCAAACACCTACGGCTTGCGATTTGTTTTTAGTTTTGTGGGACTTCTATATTTTAAATAACAACTATTTTCATGCAATATTTAAAATTCATGTTTGGTAAATATTTGAACAGAAAGTGCTAAGTCTCTAATTTTTGAAAGTTATCTCTATCCCGGATTTTAGGATCATGAATTTACTCCCTACGCGTTACTGTGCTCTGTGCTCAAAACTATGCTGAGGATTTTCACTTGGTTCTAGACACACTGATGAAAACACGAAGGACACCGCTGTCAGTTTGTCTCACTGGAAAAGCAGTACAGTGCTTTCAACATGCAAAATAATGTCTTTAATATAACTATAGTTAGATTATAAAACTTTATACAAAATTCATCAAAAGTTAAGCTACATAGAAAAAAGATAGTTATTGTCTAACAGGAAGCCAAATACTCCATGAAAAATTAAGAAAATGAATTCTACAGGTCTAGATTTTTTCTGTTTTTCTTCTAACTTTTATTTATATAGACAATAGGAAATTTTGGATACATATAACCTCCAGTTTATACTGTTTGATGTTAGAAATAGCTAAAAAAGGGAACTTTATCTGACTCTCATCACTTAAACCCAAGATCCATACAAGTGACCTGTGTAACTATTGATTTCCTTCTGCCTTTCCTTTCTAGAGAGTAGATGAAATCAGAGATACCAGGTCTGTGCTCCTGGACTGATATCCAAAGGAACTTCCTATGAGGAATGGTGAAGGACAATGCATAAAGACATGTTTACAAAACAGAAGGTTAGTGGTGATAATAAGAACTAGAATATGGAGAAATTATCCCCAAGACCAGCACTCAAGGTATTTCTAATAAATATTATGTTGACCACCTTGGCAATTGATGAACTGGTTTGCACCCCCTAGTTAAGTGCCTATTATGAGTGGAACATTATGTCCGGTGATGAATACATGTAAAGAGAGAGATGGCTCATTGTTTTCCGTTGAGTATCTCATAGCCCAAATTATAATATTGTAGGGTAAATGCTATAACAGAGATTTGGTGGAAAAATGGGCTCTTAATCCAGCATCAGGGGAAAGTTAAGTGTAGAAGTGGATTGCCAGTATCACATAAAGAAAGATCCCAGCTTTGTCACTTCTCCAGCCTTACTAGGCAGCATTGTGCTTGATCCCACATAAATTCTCAATGGTTGTAATAGCACTGGGTTCTTTAGACTGAACAGGAGTCATATGGGTGATGCAACCAGAGAATACCTTTAGGGACATGCCTTAGAGTAGAAGCTGATATAGAAGTGTGTGACATACCTAAGAATTGCAAAGCAAGGTGTAGATACATAAGGCTGAAGTGGTGTATGTCAGCAGAAGAAAATCGTGAACTTGTGTAGCCAGAAAGAGCACATAAGAGCACACCTTGAAGATTTTGTAGACCAACAATGAAAACTACAAATATTTTAGAGACGTATTAAAGCTCTTTCAGAGACGAAAACAGCCCGATACTCTCACAATAACATGTGTAGGTAGTGCTACAAGAGCACAAAGGAGGGATTGTCTAATTTATACTACCCAGGGACCACAGCAAATTCTTAAATTTTGAATGAGCAAAGCAAAATCATAATTCAGGGTAAGAAAAGTAGGTCCAAAGGCCAGGCTTCATGAACCATCTCAGTGGGCTTAAGAAGACAGACATGCCCAAAGTTACAGATGATGAATCAAGAGGAGCGTTACTGACCAAGACTAGGGAGGTTCTGCATGTTCGTGACTTGAGGTTAGCCTGAAAGGAATGAGGCCATACAGAAAGCCTTGAAGCAAAAGAACTATCCGCGAGTATTTCCCACTTGGAAATGTCTGCATATAACATTAAGCCAATATAAATGGTGATCAGATGATCCTTAAGTTCTTACCTTGAAGACATTTTGAAAGTTTTGTCATGACATAATGGGGAGTCATTATCGGCATTTAGGAGGCAAGAGTCTACCAATACTAGAAATCAACAACAGTGGTCCAGGATAAGAAAAATGACTCCTACAACCACACTACTTCCTATGTCCATGGACATTTTGATATGTGGGGGAATTTTATGCACATTGAAATCTAACAGTGGATTAGATGTTAAGATAAAGTTTTACTTTTAACTGTGTGCTGAATGATTCTTAAGAGCAGGTTATCTTAGGAATCTCAGAATATTGGAAATCAACATACCTCAAAACCCAGCAATATTGCTGTTGAGTATATACCCAAAGGATATTCAACCATACCCCCAAGGACACTTGCTAAACGATGCTCATAGCATCATTATCCATAATAGCCAGAACCTGTAAACAACCTAGATGTCCCTTAACCAAAGAATAGATAGAGAAAATGTGATATATCTACACAATGAAGTATTACGTAGTGGAAAAACATAAACAAACAATGACATCATGAAATTTGCAGGCAAATAGATAGAACAAGAAAAAAATCATCCTGAATGAGATGACCCAGACCTAGGAAGACAAACATGGTATGTTCAGACTCATAAATGGATATTAGATGTAAAACAAGCGAGATCCAGGCTACAATCCTCAGGCCCAGAAAAGCTAGGTAACAAGGAGACCCTTAAGAGGGACACATGGATCTCCCTGGAAAGAGGCAGTAGATGGGATGTCCTGGGTAAACTGGGAGGGGGAAGCAGGGGGGAGTGGATGGGGTTGGGAACATGAGAGATCAGGTTGGTTGAGTTTCGGGCAAGATGGAGTGGGAGAGTGGATAGGGGAGATATCTTGATAAAGGGAGCCATCGTGTGATTAGGGAGAAACCTGGTGCCAGGGAGGCTCCTGGGAATCCACAAGGATGACACAGCTTAGACTCCGAGCAATAGTAGAGGGGGCGCCGGAACTGACCTTCCCCTGTAATCACGTTGATGATTGCAGTCATAATCATCATAGAGCCTTCATCCAGTACCCAACGGAAGCAGATACAGAGATCCACAGCCAAGCACTGGGATGAACTGGGAGTTCAGTTGAAGAGAGGATGGAGAGATTATATGAGCAAGGGGCTGGGTCACGATCATGATGGGGAAGCCCATAGAGACAGTTGACCTGAGCTTGTGGGAGCTCATGGACTCTGGACCGACAGCTTGGGAACCAGTAATGGACTGACTTAGGCCCTCCACATCTGGGTGACAATTATGTAGCTTGGTCTTTTGTGGGGCTCTTAGCAATGGGACCAGGACCTGTTCCTGATGGCTCTTTGTAACTGATTCCCTATGGTGGAATACCTTGTTTAGACTTGATGCGGAGCAGGGTTGGGGAGAAGCTTGGTCCTGCCTCAGCTTGATGTGCCATGCTTTGTTGTTGATTCCCATGGGAGGCCTTACCCCATCTAAGTGGAGACCAAGGAGGAGTGAGTAGGAGGGGTAAGGGGAAGGGGGAAGGAGGGAGTGGGAAGAGAGGAGGGAGAGGAAACTGCAATTGATATGTAAAATAAATTTTAAAATGATGAAAAAATGACATAACATTACATTGTTTAGTTTGCAACTTGGCTGAGAGTTGTTCATAGCTTCAGGTAGGAAGGTCCGTGATAGAAACACTGCTGGTCACAAACAACACAGTTGTATTAGCTACTGTCGCTGCTGTATTCACAATGGTTTCATAGAAGTAAACATCCACACCTGCTTAGGTATCTTTCCTTTCCCATACTGCGTTAGAAAGTCACAACAGTGTCTAAAGTCTCCTCACACCCTAGTAAACGGCCCCCTGTGACGATCATGCCTATGGGCATGGCAGCCTCCCACAGGATCACAGTCACGTTCCCAACTCCAAGTTCCACCACACTGGCCTTGACTCCAAAATGACACCCAGACACATTGTCACTTTTAGTGACCACACCTTACATGTTCATAGCAAAACTCAAGTCCCCAGCATGTTCCTGTTTGCTGCTATGTTACAGAGTGTCAGCTCTGGCATTCTGTCACCGATGAGAGTAAAAAGTCCAGAGAGATCCAAAGTGTGCCTTGCACATCATAACAGGTGGATAAGAACTAAACTTTTCAGCCAAACTGCACTGAAATTTACTCCATGACAGGAGCAGCCCATTTTCTCCATGGCTGTCATAGATTTCATGGATCCTGAGAAATCCAGCCATTTTTAGAAATCCCATGAAATTTACCTTTTCACTCGAATCCACATGAAATCAAAATTTTTCCCTACGAGTCCCCATAAAATTGGCACATTTCCTCAGAAGACCCCATGAAATTATAAAGAATATTGCAGATTCTTTGCTCCTCATCCTTGTTGCACATCTTAAAGAGACAGGTCAAAGGTTGTAGAAATATTCCATTTTTTTCTGATGATAGTCACCTAACATCAGGGCAAATTCCAAAAAGATAGCTCTTGTTTAATAGATCATTTCCAAGTGAAATAAACTTGAATCTCTTTTGCATAATCTAAAAATTAGAAAGACCATAGGTAATAATGCAAAAAACTGATAAAAATGCGAAGTTTACTCAATTTACTTTAAATAATTTTTTTCTTATTCTTCCTGTTCTACCTAGTCTTTAAAAACTGGGTGACATCATATAAATTTTGATATTATTAAAATGTAGGGAGAGCCACTTGAAGTTGGGATGTTGGAAGAAAGACCACT